GGAGGTAGTAGCACTAGCTTGGCGTCCTAAGTCCCGGAACCCCCGTCCTCCCAGCCTTTGCTGGAAAGGTTTTCGGAGGTGACTGTACACTCAAGGAGACATGGGTGAATCACAAGGACTGAACGATAAACTCGACTGGCAACAGCCCGAACGGCAAAGGTTAGGAGGCCAATCAGCAGGTCGATGAAAGGTAATGAGTTGACCAACAGCACCCTTATGCTCATATTGATTAGCTTGTTCCGACCAAAGGTGCAGATGGCAACGTCATGCGACACGATGCTAGTGTTCAGACAGATCTAGTGTTGATGTGATGTTGAGACATCGCGTGACATGCATGGTGTTTGCGTGCATCGTTCTTGTGCTGTATGCCGTGAAGACTTTGAGCCTTGGGCGGCGTGGGATGATGAAAGACGTGCAGTACATGATGCAGATGCCGACAGCACCAATGCCAACGCCCCGACCGAGCCTGGTTGAAGCAGAGATGGTCATTGGGATACGGTCCTATTGATCATAACCTGTGGTCCTTCAATGGTGCCTGATGATCAGCTTAGAAAGCTGCCAGCAGTTTGCGCCGAACGGAAAGACAATGATCGGCTTCGAGGGATCACCAAGATGGACTATGACCACGTGGCATGGACCGACTGCTGGTGACTACTTTCTGTCTTAAGAGGCACGGCGCACGGAGGACAGAGAGCCAGAAAAGCCAGCCACGGCACAACGAAGCGCCGCAAGAGGATCGACGGATGTGATCCAGCATGAGTCCGAATCTCACGTGTATTGCACCTTGAAAAAATGAAAAGCATATCATTCCAAGCGTGCTTGCACGTGTCTGAACAATGCCGATGAGATCGTTCGCATAGGACTTGAGAAGGCCAAAGCCGAAGAGGGTGTACGGCGCGCGGCCGTTGCTTCAGTGGAACGAAGAAAACACAGTGAACATCATTATGTCCTGAAGAGCTCGACAATGCTCGTGATGCGGACGCATGGGTCGTCTTGTACATAGGATGCTGCTTGTACAAGTGGCGGCGACTACTCAGCATTTTGCTGACAATACTGTGATAATTGATGTGACAACAACTTCGCAAGCTGTGGTGTGACTTGAACCTTCAGTGGACATGTCGTGTGCATTGTCCAGATGACAATTAGGTCATCATGATCTTTAACGAAGTGGAACTCTTCAACGGGTTATCCACATGTTGATGGGGCGACATCCGTCGCATGGTATCCCACTTGAATGCCTCCGCTTGGGTACGTCAAGCAGCATTTCGTCACGGAGTGCCCAAGTCCGGAGATGGAATGATGTGCGTAGTTGTACAGTGAACTGTGGTTGGCTAAACGCTAACCGGTAGCCTGTAGCTTAGAAAGCCAAGGTCCGCTGCATACTTGAACGTGCTCTTACTTCCGTTGATGCAAATCCGTATGCGCAAGTGCAAAACGCATTTGGGCAGGGTGATCAACTTTTACTTTCGTACTCGCACCCGTATTTTGTCTAGACAGCTTGTAGCTGTTGGACCGTAGCTTTGACCATGTGAAACACATGTCATCCGACGTTACATGCGGGCTCAGAACTTGTGCGAAAAGTGAGTTTCTTCATTTAATTTGCACAATCCATTTCAGCCGGAATGATTTTTTCATCATTGTCAGCTTTTTGCATTTTTCCGCTTACAATTGCAGCAGCCTTCTACCACCGACAGCACCATACAAGTAGGAGTTCACCTAGTGTGGACGGCATCATGCAGGCACAGGCGGTGTGTTGTCGGTATGTAATGTGCCGATCCAAGCCGGTTGATGTCTGATGTTTTGGCATTTTCAGCTCGAAGGTAGCGGGTGTTTTCGTAGATCCCGTAGACTCGTGGTGTTATTGAGCCGTCTTGGAACATGGCTTGCCACCTGCGCGCTTCGCATAAACGTGGGCCGGCACAGGGCTCCATCGAAGCTTGGAAGTGATGCCTGGAGTAATGCTTTTCCAGTTGTTAAATCAATGCGGTCGAACAACAGTGAAATACCCGTGGTTGTGTTCAGGATTTTTTTGTGGTGGCCATTCAGGAGCACCTGTATGTGTCCGTGGCGGGGGCCGCGGGGATGCTGGATGAGCTGGATCCTCTGTGTGCTGTCTGCGTGCTGCATTCTTACATGTGCAGGAGAGCCTCAGCTTTCTCCTTGGTTGGACACCGATTGTGACCATGAGGACTGCTTGACGGACTTTCCGTCCTTGTGCCGCAAGGCTGCGCGACTGATCCGACGTGTGCATGACGTGGACGGAGGTGGCCATCATTTCGTGGAGCCCAGTGAGGTATGGAACTTGTGCTTGGAGTTTTTGGGGCTTCAGGAGGGCCCGGCTCGGCCAGGGCCACACATTATCAGATGCTCGCGTGCCATGCTCGCCATGGCAGTCCTTTATGATGTGGTGTCGGACGAGCTCGACAACAGCACATGTTCGACGGCTTCTGTGCACAAGCAGTTTCCTATTTTGGACAGTTTTGAGCAACGCATTGCAGAGCTGAGGCAGGATCGCCAACACAAGACTTGGTGGAAAACTGCTTACAGCAAGCACACGCAGCTCGGTTCTGGTCGGGAGTTTCAGCGTAAGGGAGCAAAGTTGTTGCGGCTTCTGGCAAACCACACCGAGAGGTGCAGAGTGCTGGGGCACGCGTGCGCTGTGTACAACGCTTGGGAGCCAGAAACGTGCTTCCCGCACGACGACTTGGTGCAATCCTGGTCACCGTCCTGCCAGGATGGTATGCAGATCCCCAGCAGGCCTCCGAGAGTGCGCGAAAAAGCGATTGATTGGCTAGGGCTTGTCCAAGACTGCGGGGAGGGCTTGGAGAGCGAAAGGCCTCAGACTCAGCCGGAGATGACCCGCATGCTCGAGTGCCTGGGCCTACCCTGGGGCCCTGTGGCCGGGGAGGACTACTTCGAGACCCTCTGCTTATTGCAAGCAGTCAGGACTGCGACCAGCACAAGCACCTTTGTGGTGGTAGAGGCGGGTGCTAGCGTTGGCTACTGGGCACCAAAGGCCGCGAAAGCTTTCAGGCGTCGATTTCCCGACACTGGAGCTTGTCATTTGGTCTTAATTGACTCGATTGTACCTGCATCTTCTGCCGCGGCGAACCTCCAGCGGAACGGCATTTACGACCTGTGCAACATCAGCTTTTTCCAGTCCAGGGCAACTGCATCGCTGCTGGATAGACTCATCGACTTCTTCGGGACAGTTGATCTGTTGCATGTGGACATCCAGGAGGCAATGTGTGCATTTGCAGACTTTACACGTCATGCGTCAGTGTCATGCGTCACAGACACAGCGTGCCCAGGATTGAATGACAGCCGGGGGGGCGGGGGTTTTAGTGCCGTTGCGGCCTTACTTGTTCAGGCAGAGTTGGATCTTGTGCAGAGGAGCGTCCGCTTGCCGCCTCTGGGATTGCACCTTTGGTGGCTTTTGGACCGAGGGATGCTTTTGGGGAATGTTTGTGAGTGTCTCGGCTTTGCAGGCGAGTGCAGCACCTCTTCGTTGGCACGCATGGGCGCAGGATCCACCGGCAAGTGCGGTCTTTTCTGGCGTACCATGGCTTTGCGATCGACTTCGATTACGTGGGCAAGAGTTTCCTGAGGACACCGATCGGTCCCGTCGTGTTCGGGGATGGGGTGCTTGCTGCTTGCAGAGCACAGGGAGAGGGAGAGCACAAAAGCTTCCTTTGCATTGTGCTATTGCAGATATCACCACGGCCGGCGTTAGCAGTGCCTGCCTCGAGAAATCAGGTAGCAGAAGGCGTTCAGACCTCGGGGCATGCTTTGTCCTTTCTCGGAAGTGTGTCCGGCGAATTCTCAAGTTTCCTCTCAAGTTTCCTGGACATCGATCGAGCTTGCCCTTGCATGCAGTTGTCATGCTGACAGTGACAAGGAAGTTCACGAGGCATTGAGAAAGATACACAGATAGAGCCAAGCCAAATATCGCTACTCACCTGCTCCGCCTATGGACTCATTCTCTGCAGGGCCTATAGTGCTTCTTGGCTAGCATCCAGATGTCTTGCGATGCAGGAAGAGGCTGTGAGCCACATGTCTTGCAGGTACTCAACATTGGAAGCTGACGAGCTGTATGAGAGCGCCGACGATAGCGAAGGCGAAGGACCAGGTCGAGGGGACCCTCTTTTGGCTGCCCCCTCTGGTCGCTGGTTTTTCAGAGCTGAGAGTTGGTGGCCAGGTGAGGGAACCGCCCGAGAGGCAGAAGAGGTCATCGCGCACCCGGGACATGATTCCAAGATCTGGACACGGCCTGAGGGGGAAGTCCCGTGGACCAGCATGAACCTGATGGTCATCTGAGAGTTGCCTTCCAAGGATTGTGAACTCACGTTTCAGGGTCTGGAAGCAATCTGAAGGCGGATGCGTTGAGTTTCAACTTCGGATTAAGCTTGTGCCTTGAGCCGGAGGCAAAGATTGTAGCATCATCAATGAGATGTTTGACCGGCTGCATGTCCCATTCTCAGCCCTTTTCCCGAACCTGCGCTTGGAGAAGATGCGTTTCGTGATGTCTGAGGTACACTCGCACGAAGTGACCTTTGCTTCTTCCGCTGCAGCCTTGGAGACTTGCCGCTTTGCTCAGAGCAAAGAGGGATGAGAAGCGCACGAGGTCCGTTGCCTGAAGACGGACTTTTCGATAGTCGGCATGCGAGGAGGGCCGACACGGATATTTCAGGTGTGATTGCCTGCAGATCACGCAACTTTTTGTACTGGGCAATTGGCATGTTCGATAGATGGCTCCATTTGTAAGACTGTTGCAGGATCTCTGCACCATCCTCAACCAACAATCCACGCCCCAGTGAGGAGTTTACGAGCAGCGGTCCTGTGCTGACCCCTCTCCAACCTGGGTCCAGGGCTCAACTGAAGAAGATGGCATGGGCTGAGGAGGGCTGAGGCTTCATATTGAGAGACGCTGCGACGCCTTCAGTGCAGCGATTTCGGAACCTTAGGGCTGCGCTCGGGCCGAACCGGGAACTCTCTTGCTCGGCCTTGTTGAAAAGTGGCGAGGAGGGAACGCAACATCAGTAATGCCATTGAAAACGCAGAAGAGGCTCCAGAAGCAGTGTGGTCGAGAGTTTTTTGGGAGTGATGGCCCAGGAACTCTCTCAACGGAGCGGGCAACTGGTACAAGTCCCCAATCTTAAAGCGACATGGCTCCTGGACGAGGTCGGGAAAGAGAGGGAGGGAGCCACTCGGAGCTGCAATTTTTTTTGCCAGGAGACCGTGCTCACATGTTGCCACTATGCTGGGGAGGCCCTTTCTGTTGCAAAGGCTAAAGAACAGTGCTCCATAATGCTTACCTGTGGAGGCCACCGAGAGTTGGGTGGACGAAAAGCGACTTGCAGAGCGATTCGGCCCTCGCCCCAGCTGTCAAAACAGTCGAGGGTTGGTTTCTCCAAAGTTCTCGGCGGAACAGGTTCAGAAAATTTGGAGCGGATGGGTGGTCTGAGCGTGCTTCTCGAGTTCATCGGCCGGTGCCTCGACTCTTCCCACAGGGCCTGTGCCTCTGTGTTCACCTTTTGGCGAGGCCTGATCTGTGCCGATGCCGGCGCCGGCTATGCGGCCCAGCTTCCATTCGGTCTGCCCGAGGTCGGGTTTTTTCAGGGTTTGGCAGTGAGTGATGGTCGCCTGAGGTCGGGTGGGCATGGGGGGGTGGAGCTGTTGATTTGTGCAGGTTCCAGGTCCGTTAGCCTTTGGAGATTTTCCCGGTTTGGTGCCACCAACATTTCCCCTACTGTTCGTTGTTCGTTTTCGGGTTCAGTCGCAGGTGTAGTGAAGCCTATTGCTTCTTCGTATTGGGGCTTGTGGATTCAGTTCGCCGTCTTTACGGCGCAGCTCAGGGATGCTCCATGCCGCGAAACCCGGCCTCCCTCCAGAGGTTGTCTCTCCCAAAGTTTGGTGATTGCTTTTGTGGCCTAAGCCGGTCCTCACTCCCTTTCCTCCCTGGCACTCCTTCGGGCTTGAGGGGCTTTCACTGCCCTGGCAGCCAAAAAGGGGTGTACCACTTTTCTCTTTGAGGCAGCATCTCCGCGAGCCCGAGCAGGTAAGTTCTGGACAGACTGCCGGGCGGGGGTGGGTTGGTGCGGGATTTTAACACTTTGACACCAGCTCCAGCTCTTTTTGCCCTTTTGTGGGCCTTTGTTTGTCAGGCCGTCGTGTATCTGCGGGAGGAGGCGGGATCCTTGCCAAGCATGCAAGGTGCCGGAAAGCACGCTGAACTCTGCAGAGGCGGACGCCCCGCGTCCGCGCCGACCTCCGATAGCAGAAGCCTCTGGCGGCTACGGTGCGTCAAAGGCAGGGGGGAGCTGTAACTGCTTTGGCAACTTTGGCTCTCCAGCACCGCCTGGCCCTGGCAGGTCGTGCCAAAGGCGCCGAAGCCCCTGCCAGCCACAAGTGCTGTTGCCTTCAACACCTCCAAAAAACAGTTGCCCATTGAAGCCAAGAGAGCTGCCCCATGTACCGCATATGTAAGCATTGCACGACTCTGAAGCCCTCATTTCGGCTGAGAAACTTCTTTCACACAGAGTACACGCCGAGTGCGCAGAGGAAACGGTACACGCATGTTGCCATTTCCTCTCCAGAGACATCCGGTTAGCTGGGACATAGCGGTTGCATCCGTGTCAGCCAGGCTGGAGTCCCTCTTGTCCCCGACGTAGACTCACTCGGGCTTGTGGCAGGATGTCGAAGACCGCTGATGCCGTGGTCCTCGCAGCCCCACCCCCCAGTAGCAGATATGTGCCTGCTTGTTGTCAGACAGGGCCCTGCTCGCACAGGCCCAAGAGCTGCAAGACGCGGGACCCGGGCTCGGCTTGAACATGGGACCGACACCTCACATCGATTTATCGGAGAACCCTCCAGCCCAGGACCGGATTTGCATCGGGTCGTCCTTCCTCTTCTCCAAGGCCGTCAAAACATCTCTCAGCTCAGTCCTGGCTTCGCATTCCGCTGTTGTGAGGTGGTCTGATGAATGGCAATTTTTTGGATCCTATGGTGCTCACGAAGGACTGCGATCAACGTGCCTCGTTCGAGCTGTCTTGATGGATCCGGGCTTGTGCCAGCAAGAAGAGGACTTCGAGGACTCGCTGTTTCGCTACGGCCGGGCACCTGTGCTGTCGGAGAAGCGCCTTTGAATTCCATCAGTCCAACTGAGGCGCATCGAACGAGCGCCTCGAGCAGCTGTTGCAGGAGGAGAAGGAGGCACGAAGACACCGCTCGAGTGGTGCTGTCAGGGACTCTCCGAGTTTTCCTCTTTGCCGCCAAGGTGCTGGAGAGCGTGTCACCGGAGGACGTGCAGGCGCTTTTGCTCCCCTTAGAGTTTCACGAAGGTTGAAGCTTTGGTGCAAGAGGTACTGGCCGGGCTGCGGCCCATGGTGCTCCAGGGCATGATGGTACTCTGTAGCTACCACCACCTAGATCAAGACAGCCGGAGCCCCGCGATTGCCCCCTGTTTCTCTCTCTGTCTCTCTGTCTCTCTTCTCTCTTCTCTCTCTCTCTTAGTAGGTTGGTACACCGCCGTATCCGTCATCGACTCCTACCTGGCCAAAGTGGGAGCCCGGGCCCCAGTTCCGGACCAACTCTGCATTGATTTCCCATAGATTTCACATAGATTTGAGAACTCTGAAAAAAATAACGCAACATCTGTGTTGCCCCCGTGGGCTCAGACGGCGTTCGATCGCCGCCTGCCGGTCAGTTCGACGAACATTCCACTGGTGCATTTGCCATGTTTGCCTTTGCTATCCGTTTCAATTATCCCGCTGCTTCATTAGGCCTTGCCGACTGTATGAGGCAGACGACAGCGTAATTCTCACAGAACGCAATACTACGGAACCACACTGCTCCTGCTCCTGGATCAAGTGCACGCGTGTTGAAGACAACTTGCAAAGCAACAAAGGGTCTCACTGTCGCAATAGAAGACATGGTTGTGTACGCACGAGTCCGGTAGTGACGCGCTCTGGTTCTCCAGTCCTGACTCTGCAGAGCCGCACCTGAGGCGAATACTCTTACGAGTGGGTACAGGGATGCCTCCTTTGTTGAGGAACTTGACATCAGCAAGCTGCCGCTGACCTGCGTCGCCGTGGCGATGCCCTCGGCAGGTCCCGGAGGTTTGCGTCCGCTTGGCTCGAGTCGCGCGCCAAGGTGAGGTTGGTAAAGAAGTTCTACGGCAACGTGGCCGACCAATTCGGTCACTGCCTCGGAGTTTGGGCGTCTGCCCATGTCTGCTCCACTGAAATTCTCGAGGCACCACCTCTGCTCAATGGCTCGATGGAGCCCGGCAGCTGGCCAGAGCGATGCAAGATCAAGGCACGTCGGCATCGGCCTCAGCCGGCAGCCTTGTTGGCGGGAGCCCGTCGCAAGGCCACCAAATGCAGAGCCTGGAGTTTACCGATATCATGCTCAGCCGAACCCTAACATTCTAAGGGATGAGAAGCCGGGAAGCATTTGTCTATTCCTTCCTCATGCTGTGAGGCCAGCATGAGATTGACATTCTCCAGGCCTGTATCCACTGCACGAACGTCTAATGCCCCGCGTCGTGCGCGCGAGCACTCACGTAGAGGTCCTGCAGTGGCAGATCGACGCCCCGCTCCTGCAGAAGTGGCTCTCCACGTGAGCCGGTTTTCTCGGCCCGAGAACCTCTGACGTCAACTGCATTCTGCTTCGGCCTTGCTTGGGTTTGGAGGTACTGCCAGCGCTTCAACATCTTGACCTATCACAAGCACGAGACGGCCGTTTCCCGGGCTGGGGCCCCGCAGCGACGCGGCGACGCGGCGACGTCGCGACGCGGCGAGCCAGGCCAAGGCCCTGGCCATGTACTTCGCTGGCCTGCTCCTCTTCGTGGAGGCGCGTCCCGTCCCACCACCGCCTGTTCTTTGTGTAGAAGCGTGCTCTTTTGTGTTGCCTATGCATCTGTGTATATAATTATAACTACAGAAATGTATGTATGTATGTATGTATGCATGCATGCATGCATGCATGCATGTATGTATGTATGTATGTATGTATACATATCTATATCTATATCTATATCTATATCTATATCTATATCTATATCTATATC